GGGGGGGGGGGGGGGGCAGAGCGAGACCAGCCGACGATGTTTTGCAGAAAAGCTTCTTTCAGTTCAGACAGAAGGTGAAAAGTATTATTCTCACTTCTTTTTACTTTTGTTCTCTGAATTATTTAACCCAGTGAGACTCGTCCATTATTCTCTAAATTAATTTCCAACTTGATTCTGTGTTCACCTGTGTCTTTTATTGTTACTGAGTAGAACTTAATCTGTGGATTTAAATAAGTTTAATTAATAAACTGACCTGACTTGATGTTCTGGATCAAACTGTAAAGAGTTAATAAAGTGATTCACACAATCATCTGGTTTAAAATGTGTAAAATGAAGCAAAGGTGTCAGACTTTAACTTCTGATCCACAAAATAAACAATTGGACTCAACTACTGGTCAAAACACTTTTTTTTGAAGAAACGATCTGTAAACTGAATTTCACCAGTAGGGATTAAATCAGGAGCCTTTAGCTGGTGTTTAATGTGCAGTGGGGCCAAACCCCACCCTTTGGGAACCACCGATTTAATTTAGCTCAGTTTATTTAACCAAAGACAATTCACAACAAAAATAACCCCAGAAAAACAAGTCCAAATAATCCAGATTAAAATCAGATTCATTCTCTGTAGGTACAAATAATAGACTGTAAATTAAATAAACCCTAAATTAAAAGAAATCTTTAGACGGCTTCATTTTTTAAAATATGATGGACTGTATTTATAAATTGTAGCTCCTGTTTCTCCAGACACTCAAAGCTCTTTACAACAATCTGCGCCTCATCTGCACGTTCACACAGCTCTATACTAGATCTACAAACACTAATCAGAGCTTTAGATCCCGTTCACTGATGGGACACACATCAGAGGCAATGAGGGGTTCAGTGTGTTGCCCAGGGACACTTCAGCATGTGACTGCTGGTGGAATTGAACCCCCAACTCTTGCATTGGAGGACGACTGCTCTAACCGCTCAGCCACAGCCGCCTCATAAATGATCAGTTAAATAATCACAGATTATCAACAGAACCAGTTTGCAGTTTTTTAGACAAACTGTAGACAGCAGCTTTTTAATTTAAACTTTATTTGGTTTAATTCAACTTCAGACGAGTTGGATGCAAGAAAGACTAAACAGTTTTTAAACATTGAGACATCTGAAGAGGATTAAAGCGTTTAAGTTTCTGTTGCTCGGTTTACCTGAGCGGCCATGACGCGTTGTCTCTCTGCGATCAGCTTACATTTAACGCACTGACAGTCCCTCCAGTTACAGAACCTCTTGTGACCCTTCAGAGGAGACACGAACCCGTGGTTCCTGCACCGAGAACACTTGGGCATTCTGGGAGATCTGCACCCAGGGCCTTTGGACGGGGTCTGGGGTCTGCCAAGTCCAGCAGGAACCTGCTTGTTCTGCCGGTCTTTACTCATCTCTGCTGCCAGAACCAGAACTGACGACTGCCACTGGGTCTGAAGTGGTGCCATCCCACCCTGCAGCTGTTATCAGCCAGAGGGAGGAACCCGCTGCAGAACACATCGTTCTGTTTATCAGGAGAACACGGCATGGGAGGCCTGCAGAACCCAGGGAGGGAACGGGTTAATTAGTCTAGTTAGTCTACATGAGTCCTCGTGGCTCAATGAGACTAACCTGTAGAAATAAAGGTTGAATAGAACAAAGAGCATCCAGTCCTGGCTTTAGAAACATGGTTTTATACAAATATAAAAGTATCTTTCTAATAATTAACATTTACGGTGACATTCTATGTTTTGCTGCATGATAAATTACAAAAATACATTCTATTTTTTAAATTTATCAAACCTGAATGAGCAGAAACTGAATAGACCTCCACACGTCAGAGGCCTTCAGGTGTGTGAGATGTTGGAACTGTTCTGCTCGAGGTGCCTTCATGTTGGAGCAGCTCTACTTTCATTCCGACATGTCGCTTTTGAAAACTTGGTTTCCACTTTTTTTTCTGGATGTGGATCGCTTTTCTGGATGATTGTTTCTTCTGGTGTCGGATGCTGTGCAGCTGGAAGGATTTTTACTGAAGCCTCTTTACTTTTGGACAATTTTTATGATGTGCAACCATAAGTTTTTTTTTTTTTTTTTTTTTACACAATCGGGAGCAGCTGATTAACATCTCAAGCTCAAATAATGTCAACTACAGCCCCACATCCCAAATGAGTTGAAAAGGAGGCGCCGTGGATGCAGAGCAGGAGCAAAGAGAGAAACCATCTCTTCCATTGATCATGATGGGCAATGTGAGCTTGCTGGGAAACAAGTTGGAGGAACTTCAAACCCTAACATGGACCCATCCAGAGTATCGGGAACGCAGTGTTGTTTCACTGAGGCTCACATGGCTGCAGGATCATATCCCCAACTCCAGCGTTCTCCTGCCAGGCCTTCTGACTCAAATACCTCAGCTACATCCACAAATCCCAAAAGAGTTGAAAAGGAGGTGTCATGGATGAATCCCCATCAACCTGGTGGTGACCTGACCACTGAGATCATGGAGCTGTTGGGAAACTCAGCTCATGACGACGGGAGGACCGGGATCACAACCCGGCACCTTCAGCTGTCCGTCCATGGCGACGAGGAGCTTTTGGGCAGTCCTGCTGCCCAGGAGGACCAAGAGGCCCGCTGGATCTGACAGCAAGCTGGATCCAGGTGGACGGATCGGTATCTTTGACCAGATTCTTTGGATTCGCTGCAGGAGATCCTTCCTGTCCACAGCTATCAGCATCTATAACAACCAGGGCTTAATTTGTAAACCAACTGATGCCAGAACACAAAGAGCAGGCGGTCTGGGTGGGGGTCCATGGGTCCTCCCCCAGAAAATTTGGAATAAGAGAGATGCCATTTCCTGCATTTTGGTGTATTTTAACAGGCTGTTAAACATCTGTAAACATTTAATTAAACTGATTAAAAACAGGTCTCTCAGCGTCCTAGAGCACCATCTCTTCTGCCATCATCTGCTGAGGGAGCAGCACCAGAGCAAGTGACTTAAAAAAGATCAACAAGCTCATAAAGAAGGCTGGCTCAGTTCTGGGGACCCTCTAGAACCTTTGGAGATGATTGTTCAAAGAAGGATTCTTCATAAAATTCAATTCAATTCAAAAATACTTTATTAATCCCAGAGGGAAATTATTTGTTGTTGTAACTCGTTATCCTCATTTCATTAAGAGATGTTATAGATGCTGACGGCTGTAGACAGGAAGGATCTCTTGTAAAGGTCCATCCCACAGTGGATCCTAAGAAACTGGCTGCAGATGCCGTCCGATCCGTCCACCCAGACTCGACTGGCCTTTCGGTTCCCCCAGGCTGTAGGACCGCCTGAATGTTGGGCAGAACTCCTCCCAGAGCGATGGCCACTCCTCCCAGCAGTCTGCTGAGCTCCTCGTTGCTGTGGACAGACAACTGTAGGTGCTGAGGGACGATCCTGTCCTTCTGCTGTCATGAGCCGTGTTTCCTGCTAGTTCCAGGATCTCAGTGGTCAGGCACTCGAGCACAGCTGGCAGGTAGATGAGAATACATCCACAGAACATCCTTTTCAACTCATTTGAGATTTGGGGCTGTAGTTGAGATATTATTTGAGCTTTTGAGATGTTAATCAGCTGCTGTTGGTTGTAGAAAACTGCCTTGTTGCCATGGTTACGCATCATAACAAATGTCCTAAATTAAAAAAAGTTTCAGTAAAAATCCTTCCAGCTGCACAGCATCCGATACCAGAGGAAACAATCATCCAAAAAAAAAATGTGATTTACATCCAGAAAAAGAGGAATTAAAGTTTCCAAAAGCAAAATCTCAGAATGAAAGTAAGAGCTGCTCCAACATGCAGCCACCTGGAGCAGCGCAGTTCTAGAACTAAATGAAGAACATTATAGACCACCCTCAGCATCCTCTTCATCAGACTGTCATACAACAGAGTGTCTTCAGTCAGAGGCTTCTTCAGATCCGCTGCAGGAGATCCTTCCTGCCCACAGCCCTCAGCATCTAGAACAACTCTTTAATGAAACCAGGACAATGAGCTACATTTAATTTACATCTGGGATTAATAAAGTATTTTTTTAATTCTGAATTGAATTAAAGTTCTCAGCCTCAGCCCAGGAACCATCCAGACTTATGATCATTTTATATTTTCAGATTTATGTTGTACTTTTTTAGGATTTTACTTAAACTTTAGATTAAGATTTTTTTTAATGATAGTAGCTCATTAAATAATAATAATTTAAAAAATCTAATATTTGAAAGTCCAATAAATCTGGTTTAGGAGATAAATGTTTTATTTTTAAGTTTTTATTATTTAATTTCAGCACCAAGTTGATCTATGAATGACAACTTAAATATTTATAATAAAAATAGGTAAAAACTAATTTACGAGTTTTTTTCCTATTAAAGTACAAAATCGAAGTTCTTTATAAGCAGCAGCAGTTTCTGTGGTGATAAAGAGAACCAGCAGCAGAACCGAGGCCCGTTAGTGAACCCAGCCCGAGTCATGATTTTAATCTTTATTAATACGAATCGTTAGATGAGATCTTAGCCAACATTGAACACAAACCGGTGAAGAACAACAACCTCCGTATGTACAAATACACACCTGCATTCAGACTAAACTCTGATAAATACACACTTCATGGACTGGAGCAACTATTAAAATACTGGCTTCGTCTTTTTAAATAGATTACAAAAGGTTTAGAGAAAAGTCCAGATCCTCCTCGCACGTCTCATCCAAACTGGACAAACAACCGTTTGTACACAAAATACTTCCTCTCTCTGTGTGTGTGTGTACATTTGATGGTAAAAATAGTTTTGGTTACTCCTAAATGATTGACACAGGCATAAACAACAACAAAAGTGGGGGGGGGGGGGCAGAACCTGGAGCGGTTCAGGCACCTGGTGGTCACATTCATACAAGGACACTTTGGGCTCGCGGTGGCAGCAGTTGGATCCAGAACTTATAAAAATATAACTATAACATGTGAATGGATGATTGGTGGGATTAAGGTTCTGATCCAGTGACGGGAGGCTTCGTTCAGTGAGAGCCAATAGCAGCGCAGCGTTCATCAGCTGAGGGGGCGGAGTCTAATCAAAGATGCCTCGCCGGGTCGGGCTGGGGGAGGTTTTCCTGCTGAGCCGAGGCGTTCCCTGAAAAACAAACAACAGAACAGATGGATCCAAGAGGACTGAAGAACCTGCAGGTTCTGTTCAGAAACAGTTCTGGTCCAGTCAGACGTACCGGTGACTGGGCTTTGGAGAAGTTCACGTGCGCATAAAGCAGCACGGCGATGTCTTTGTGTCCTGCTTCCAGAGCGATGGACAGAGCGTTACTCCCATCCTGGAGACACAACAGAGTTCTCTCATTCCGTTCCAAACGTACCGCGAGGAACACAAACGTTCTGACAATTCAACTAAATCGACTTCACGAAGCGTCTGAAGCTCAGTTTGGTTCTGAAACTTTCACTAAAACATTTCGTTACTGGTTGAACTTTCTGAAGGACTGTTGATGGAAACAAAGATCACATTTTTCTCGCAGGTGGGTTTAAAAGTTCATGTTTCGTTGGCACGGCTGACTCGGCACGCTTCAGAGTCTGGAACCTTCTAAGGTTCTGATGAAGACGCAAAGAGTCGTTTACGTTTACTGAAGTATTTAAGAAAATGTCGGAGGGACTCACGCCGTCGCTGAGCGTGGCGTCGCAGCCCGGTTGGGCCAGCAGAAGTTTGACGATCTCCACGTGGCCGTGTTCACTGGCGCACATCAGGGCCGTGGAGCCTTCGTCGTCCTGGATGTTGACGTCGGCGCTGTGGGCCAGCAGGGCCCGGACCATGTCCATCCTGCCGTGGCTGACAGCCAGCATGAGACCCGTCTGACCGGCCTGAAACGGAACCAGCAGAACTTTTTACCTGCTGCAGGGTGAGGAGGAGGATGATGAGCTGTATGAGATCAGGTCGGAGCTTTTTGCTCAGAACAAAATAAAAACAACAGATTTTAAATCAACACCGACGCGTGAAACTAAAGAGTAAATAAATTAAACTGCTCGCAGAGAAACATGAGGTCAGAGGTCAAAGAGAATCCAGGGGGTTCTGATTGAAGAGACAAAGTTCACAGAATAAAGAAGCGTCAACAGGTTACTGATTTAAGGTCCGATGACCTCTGACCCCGATGACCTCTGACCCCTGGCACTGACCTGACTGGCTCGAGCGTTCACGTCCCCCTTACTGAAGAGCTCCTCCACGATGCTCATGTCCTTCGTCGTCTCCACGGCCGCCAGAGCAGCGAGCATGATGGGAGTGTACCCCGCTTTATTCTGCTGGTTCACATTGCACACGTCGGAAACACGGGGGGGGGGGGGGGGGGGTCATGTTGCACAGTCCTGTCATGAAACTGTTTTCACAACTTTCATTCCCGTTAATCCGCAGCAGGATTATCAATCTGTCCTTATATTTAACAGGTTTAAGTTCTGAAGGGTCCAGTCTGAAGATTTTTCAGTCAAAAGAGAAACGTTCCAGATGTTCTCACCTGCATCCAGCAGCTGTTTCACCACCTGGAAGTTGGAGTGCGAAACACTGTAATGCAGCGCCGTGTTGCCGTTACCGTCGGCCATGTTGGCGATGTGGCGCAGCACGGCCGGCGAGACGGCCTCAAACGCCACCAGGTAGTCCTCCACCATCGACGCAGACGCCGCCTTCTGGCTGGAGGCTCGGAACCACTCGTGCTGCACCGTATTGAGACACGCTCTCTGTGGAGGAGGGGCGGGGCTATCAACCAGCTGACAGGTCATGTGACCAGATCATGGGAGGGGGGACTCACCAGATCTTTGCCGCTCACAGCCTTGGAGTCGCTGAGGGACGTGAGGAGAACGTTGCAAGCAGACAACATCTTGTCGCTCAGCTGGAACCTTCACAGGAACGTTGGAGAACGAACTCGTTAAACTGCCTGAAGTGCTCACGTTCATCTGATCTGACCTCATGGAGGAATTGATCTTCAGAAAAGTTTTGACCCTCACCTCTCCCTCTTATCCTTTAACCTCTCCTCGTCATCCTTCACCTCCTCTGCTCCTTTGTTTTGGAACTCCTCCCCGTCACTCCTTCCTCCTTCGTCCCCATACTCGTCCTCGTCCTTCTCGTCGTCCTCGTCCTCTGAGGAGCTGCTGTCCTCCGAGCTGGAGTCGTCACTGGATGTAGTTTCATATCTGCACCAGCAGGGGGCAGAAAAGGCTCAGAAACCGAGGACCCAGGAGTTCCTGCAGGACCCGGCTGCAGAGGCTCATGTGTCGGGACATTTACATCCAAAGAACACGTGTGGATTTAAACATGCTAGACAGGAGGTACACAGGAGGGTAAACTGGAACCAGACTTTCTTCTCACCCTCCGTTCACTCCAACAAACTGCAGGTTCTTCTTGGTGCCGTTTGGGTCGGCTTGTCCATCCTTCTTCTTCATGATGGACTTCAAGGGGTTCTGGCTGCACGCCTCTCCTGGAACAAACAAGAACTTTATCATGCTCCAACTGTTCACAAAGGGTCAAAACATAAAATGCATGAGTTACTCTGAAGCTCCCCTCAGTCCCATTTTAACAACCGTTTCTCAAACAGCTGATTTTTACTTTTTTTAACGCAGAAACAAGAAAAGATGATTTTCTGCTCAAGGTCATTTAAACGATGTCTTACAACCGTGAAACAAAAACAGGTCCAGTCGGTTAGAACCTCTGCAGTAGAACCAGCTTGGACATTTGAAAAGAAACTAAAAATATCAAAGAGGAGCAGAACCATCAGAACATCTGCCTGGACCTGCAGGATGGAGGGGCCTCCTTCCTGCTGCAGGGGGGGCTAAAGGCTGCAGAAGAAGATTCATGTAAGGACACGTGTGTTTTTGTTTCAGGTTACCTTGTAGGGACCAATATTACAAAAAGTCATGCACTGTAGGAACAACTGCTCTTTATCTTTACCAGGACCCCATAAGAAGTCTCGTTGGGGGGTTAGGCTATGGAAAAAGAATGGAAGTCAATGCAAAGTTCCCAAAAAGTATGTTCATGTGTGTGGAGCTCCTCATCAGGAGAACCCCAGTCTGATGATCATGTTCTGTTGGTGAATCGATCCATCAATAAGACCACGTGACCCCCCAGGACCCTGATCGGACCCGTTTGCTCTAAAGACCTGGTTCTCGTACCATGTAGTGCTGTAGACATCTGCAGGTCCATGCGACTCTTCTGCTCAGCTGTGAGTTCAGGATTTTCTGCCGGGTTCAGGTGCGATGAGGTCCGGTCAGCCTGAGCGCGCTCGGTTCCGGCGCCCGACACCTGGACCTGCTGAACACTCGCTAAGAAACAGAAAACAGACGACTCAAGACTTTTGCACGGTTCTGGAGGACGCTGGAAAATCTAAATAGACATAAAATGATGCTTTGACTTCAGGACAAATAGATCAACAACTTTTTAAGAAAAGTTTATGTGAAAGATTTTATTAAACTAAAAAAAAGTTTTTCAGTTTGAAAAAAGAAATTTAAACTGAGCAGAACATCAGCCGAGTTCTCCCAGCTGGTTCTACAGACCGACCCGCCTCACAGAGCTGCATTCATCTGCTGCCCAGAGCGAAGGCCCGTTACGTAACGGGTCCAGAACCATGAATCAGCACCGGGGAGGGGAGGCTCCAACAGAAATGAGCTCACTGTTGGGTTGAGTCCAAACATTCTTTCAGGGTCACAGAACTTTGGCCCGTCCATCTGATTGATCCGGATTCTCTTTGGACCACAGGTGCACGCTCTGACTCTTAAAACTGGATCCAGAATGTGGACCAGGCTGCTCAACTATCGGGTCAGAATCAAACTCAGTACTTTTATCCGAGAACACAAGAGTTGTTTTGGGGACACAAAGACTTCCTCGAGGCTGCCAGCTGGTCCCAGACCAGCAGAACCTGGCTCTAGGAGCAGATCATGTGAGGGAGGAGTTCAGTTCTGGTGTTGAGGTGTTCTTACCTCTGCAGGAGTCCGAGCTCAGCTCCAGGATGTCCTCGGCGCTCCCGTACTTCATCACAGAGTTGATGGAGGACAGTGTGCTGACCAGCTGACTGTTGATGGAGCCGAACTGGCTCTGAGGTTGTCCGAAAGCCTCGGCCAGCTCGCTGTAGTTCTCCGCCAGCAGCATCTGTTGCTCCTGCAGCAACTTCTGGACCCTCTCGATGTAATGGTCCAGTCCGGCGCCACCTTCAGGCTGCAGTGGCGCAGATGCAGTCTTCGGCTCTCTGCCGAGCACAGATTCAGCCGCCTGGGAAGGACCGCACGCGATGTTTCGTGTTTTGAGGCCAATCAGGGAGTTGTCGTGGATGCTGAGTGGACCCACCCCACACTCTTTGGTTCTAGTTGAACTGGATATGCCAAGAAGCGACCCCAGATCTGTGATGGTTCCCACGGCCACTGAACGGGTTTTGGCTGTTGTGGGGTTGTCTTTAACAAGTCCATCTCCTGCAGCGACGGTTCTGGTTTCCGGTGCTGCCGTGTTGGTTTGTTTATCGCAGATCATCAGCTCCATGTTGGTGAACGAGTCCGTTAACTCGGCCGTCTGTGTGTTGGTGGAACAGCTCGTTACGTCCACATCGGTACCGGTCTGCTGCGTCGCTGATTCAGGAACAGCCAGAATTCCTGAGTCCACCTTAGGGACAAAATCTGGGTCAGTTCCTTGTGACACCAGCACCTTGACCGGACTGACAATCACGTCCACAGAACAGTCTCCGCAGCCAACTGACCGGGACTCTTTGTTCTGCTGCAACTCGTCTCTACGGAGGTTCAAACTGTCCACAGTCTCATCTGTGTTAACGCCTGTTTCTGAAACACTCAGCTCCACGCCAACCTGCTGGTGGCACACCTCCACCCGCCGCCCCACACATTGGTCCTGGACTTCCACACGCTCCCGCACCACCCACCGGTCCATTGGGAGGTCTGGTCCCATGGAAACGCTCCGCACGCTGGGCCGACAGGACACACCCACAGTGTTGGTCTGTAGAGTTTGATCTGTGCCGATGTGGCTGAACTCCACGTGGTCGCCCACGCCCTGATGGCGCACCTGGACTCTGGCCTCCACGCAGGCGTGGTATGTCTCTGGCCTGACCATCAGACCTTTGTCTGCCCTCTTCCTGCTGGACCCCCCTGCTGTGTGGAGCTCCAGTTTTAGTTTCCCCATTTCCATCTCGTGAGTGGTTTCTTTCAGCTGCACCTCCAGCCGGTAGATTTTCTCTTTGAGGGCTTCGATGGTCTGCTGCTGGAGCTCGACCTCTTTCTCAGCCTCACTGGTCACACCCAGCATGGTCTCGGTCACAACAACTGCCACACTCCGGACCTCCAGCCGGTCCGTCAACACCCCTACATCCTTTAACCTGGGCTCTGTTTGCCGCTTCTTCTGAGAGAAGACACTGTTCATGTTTTCATCTGTCACAACACCGATGGTTCTTTGGAGAGCTTGGCTCTGCAGGAGGTTTTCATTATTCTCCTTGGAGGTCTTCTCGAGAGCTTGGACCTCAGCAGCCAGACGTCTGAACTCATCCAGCTGCTGAGAGCTTTGCTCCTGGATTTCTGGCTCAACAATCTTAAGCTCGGTTTCCTTTTGGATAGAACCAGGGTTCTCCATCTGGTTGGCGCTGCCTACGCTGTACGAGCGTTTCCGGAAGCCTTGATTTTTGGACTGAGCAGCCAGCTGCCGTTTCTCTTCCTGGAGGACTGCAATCTTGACCTGAAGGATAGGAATGGTTTTCACCTGCTCCTCCAGCTCCTTCAGCCTCTTCAGAGCCACCACCATCTGCTCTCGGATCTGTTGCAGCTGCAGCGGGCTGACATTGGTCACTGGGGTCGCCACGCCGGAGCTCATGGGGCTGTGGCGAATGGAGCTGCCCATCGATGGGGGGTAGTAATGGTTATACTCTCCGTTAGACAGGCTGTTGATTGGCAGTTGCTGGTGGGGATTGGGGGAGACCTGGCTCGGGCCAACAGAACCAGAGTAAGATGACAACGAGCTGCTGGAGCCCATTCCACCAAAGCTGGCGAGGCGACGCCGGGGCATCAGCGGTTCACTTTGTGGCTGCATGAGGAGTCGCTCCTGTTCAAGACGGCGCCGAGTCTCCATCAGGGTCTTCTCCACCAGGGGGTTGTGGCACGAGGCCAACTTTGGTGAAGGAGGTGGAAGCTGCTGCTTCTGCTTTGAAACACCCAAGAAGGACTGATGTGGGGGCAGTTCACAGGTCGTCTTGGAGAGGGTGGGGGTCAGGAGAGGAGCATCTGGAGGCCTAGAGGTGAAGAAGACCGGGGACTGTTTGCCGTCGCTGTTGGATGAGGACAGCGAGTCTGTGGAGGTCCATTCAGGCCGGCTGCCAACTTCACAGATACCACCTTGAGGTTTGGCCACTTTGGGCTTTTTTGTGATACTCAGCTTCCTGATGGTGTTTCCTCTTTCAATGTCATCGACATATTTCAGGAAATCCAGGTCTAACTGGAAACCATAAGGAGTTTCAACATAGTAGGAGTCCTTATCACCAGTGTTCGGGCATGTTTGGGCTCGTTCTGAAAGAGAAGGCACAGAAAAACATCTTAAAGCAAAATATGTGTCAACATTTCTGCTATACGCTATCGAGCTAAAGTTGGTCAACTTCTATACGCTACAGAGCTAAAGTTGGTAACTTCTGCTATATGCTACCGAACTAAAGTTGGTCAACTTCTATACGCTACAGAGGTAATGTTGGTCAACTTCTTCTATAAGCTACAGAGCTAAAGTTGGTAACTTCTGCTACATGCTACCGAACTAAAGTTGGTCAACTTCTGCGATACGTTACGGAGCTACAGTTGGTCAACTTCTGTGATACGCTACAGAGCTAAAGTTGGTCAACTTCTGTGATACGCTACGGAGCTAAAGTTGGTCAACTTCTGTGATACGCTACAGAGCTAAAGTTGGTCATCTTCTTCGATATGCTACAGAGCTAAAGTTGGTCAACTTCTGTGATACGCTACGGAGCTAAAGTTGGTCAACTTCTGTGATACGCTACGGAGCTAAAGTTGGTCAAATTTTTCTATACGCTAGAGCTAAAGTGCGTCAACTTCTTCTATATGCTACAGAGCAAAAGTTGGTCATCTTCTGCTATATGCTACAGAGCTAAAGTTGGTCAACTTCTTCTATATGCTACAGAGCTA